AGATATATGTTGTATATAAAAAAATAAAATAATAATATATATATATATATATATATATATATATATATATGTATGTATAATTAATTGAAAGAACATATAATTAATAATAAATATTGAAGATTTATTATATCTTATTTATTATAATTCATATTTTAATTAAATAACGTTCGTATTTATTAAACAATAAGTAATATATGTAAGTAGCATTTTTAATTAATATATAAAAATATGAAATACTTAATAATAAATTTTAAGAATAAATTTAATATTAATTAGTGAAAATTTATTGTATAATATTTACTATAACAAAAATATTCAGTAAATAAGTTTGTTCATAAGTATTTTTTAAATAATATATCTAAGTACTACTTAAGCATAAATCTGAAATAGTTAATAGTAAATAGGAGTTAAAAATAATTTAATTAATAATAATTAGGCAATGTTTAATAATTTATATTTATTATGACAAATAATATTGTAACACCCCAATTTCCTTAAAAGGATATTCTTATTAGAAAATTACAAATAGAAATTCAAAAATTTAAGACAAAAAGACAGAAATATACTTAAAAAATAATTCAAATTCAAATATAGAAATTCAAATATTTTAAGTGAAAAGACAAAAATATACTTAAAAAATTATTAAAATTAAACTATTTAAATATATAATCATATTATTACAAATAAAATTAGAATATATAAAATAAAAATCAGTTAAGGGTATGATTATCTATTATTTTTTAGACAAAATCAGTTACAAGATGACGTATATTTTTCCTGAGAGCAACAGAATGTTATCTATAGGGCTGTAATTTGACAAAAACCATGTCACCAATTTGCAATTCCATTGACTTCCTTTTCTTATCAGCATGTTTCTTCATGTACTGTTGAGCCTTGTGGAGGTTAAATTTCAATCTGCTAAGTGTCAAGTCCCTTTGCAGTAATTGTTCTTGAACTGAAGTAGGATCACTCTGATTAAGGGTGTATTTAACCAATGTAGGAGGATCTCTGCCATAGACAATCTTAAACGGAGTCATGTCACTACTATGATAATATGAAGTGTTATACCAATACTCTGCCCAAGGCAACAACCTTGCCCAATCTTTAGGAGAGTCATAAGTGAAACATCACAAGTACATTTTCAAACACTTGTTCAATGATTCAAACTGGCCATCTGACTGTGGGTGGTAGGCAGTAGACATGTGTAGAGAAGTACCACTTAATTTGAACAATTGCTGCCAAAATTAACTAAGAAATACTTTGTCCCTATCAGAAACTATAGTCTTAGGCATGCCATGCAGTTTAAACACAGTTTTGATAAAAACCTCTGCCACTAACTTGCTAGAGTAATCAGGCTTTAAGGTAGAAAAGTGGCCATACTTTGATAATCTATCAATTACAACGAGTATGACAGTAAAGCCATTTGAAGAAGGAAGGCCATTTGAAGAAGGAAGGCCCATGATGAAATCCATAGCTATGTCATCCCAAATCTGTTCTGGAATTGGGAGTGGCTGTAATAGACCTGCAGGTAAAGTGTGAGCAGATTTTGCTTGTTGACAAACCAAACAAGTTTGAACAAACTGCTTAACATCTTTGTTCATACCCTTCCAATAAAATTGAGCCAAAATTCTAGCCAATGTCCGTGTAAAGCCAGCATGCCCTCCAATCAAGGAGCTATGAAACTCATGCAAAATCTAATTAACCAGATCATGAGATTTGGGAATAACTAGTCTACCCTTCCAGAAAAGAAAATTATCATGCACCGAATAATGAGGATTTGGAGGCTTATTAAGCAAGCACAAGTCTAGAACAGCCTTTAATTGAATATCTTTAAAAACAGCTTCCCTCAAAGCAGGAAAAATTTGTAAATTAGGCTGAGACCAAGCCATAAAATATGATTTAGACAGTGAATATGCAACAATATTGTCCTTCCCATGCTTATATTCAATGGTAAAATCATATCCCAATAGTTTGTGCAACCACTTCTGTTGTTCTGGGGTCTGAATAGCTTGTTCAATTAAGCTCTTCAAGCTTTTTTGATCTGTTCGAATCACAAATCTATGTCCAAGCAGATAATGGCGAAACTTGGCAATAGCTTCCGTGATAGCATAAAATTCTCTAGTATAGGCAGATTGTTTTTGCATTGAAGCAGACAATTTCTTAGAGAAAAAAGCAATAGGATGATGATCTTGACTGAGAACTACACCTATTCCCACTCCTGAAGCATCCATTTCTAAAACAAATGGTTTACAAAAATTGGGTAAAGCCAAAACAGGTGCCTGAGTGACTGTTGTTTTCAAAGCTGCAAATGAACCATGAGCAGAATTGTCCCACTTAAAATTGTCCTTTTTCAATAGGTTAGTGAGAGGAGCAGCCACCACTGCATATTGCTTGATGAATCTTCTATAATAGCCCGTAAGGCCAAGAAATCCTCTCAATTGCTTCAAGTTTTTTGGACATGGCCAATCCAGAACAGCTTTCACCTTACTCTTGTCCATCGCCACCCCTAGGCCTGAAACATTATGGCCTAAATAATCTACTTGCTGAAGTCCAAAAGAACATTTAGACAATTTGGAAAATAGTTTATGCTGCTGTAATTTCTGCAATACGACCTCAAGATGATGTAAATGAGCAGACCATGAAGAGCTGTATACTAAAATATCATCAAAAAATACAAGAACAAATTTCCTCAACAAGCCTTGGAAAATTTCATTCATCAAGCTTTGAAAAGCTGCAGGTGCATTAGTGAGACCAAATGGCATCACTGTCCACTCGTAATGACCTTGATGGGTTCTAAATGCGATTTTGAACCTGTCCTCTTCATTAACCAATATATGGTGGTACCCAGATCTCAAGTCCACCGTATTTATTAAATAATAAGTAATGTATGTAAGTAGTATTTAAAGTAATATATAAAAATATGAAATACTTAATAATAAATTTTAAAAATAAATTTAATAATAATTAGTGAAGATTTATTGTATAATATTTATTATAACAAACATATTTAGCAAATAAGTTTGTTCATAAGTATTTTTTAAATAATACATTTAATTACTATTTAAGCATAAATTTGAAGTAGTTATTACTAAATAAAAGTTGGAAATGATTTAATTAATAATAATTATGCAATGTTTAATATTTTATATTTATTATAACAAATAATTTAGTTATATTATTATCTTAAATACTAATTAATAATAATATATGTAAGTAGTATTTAGTAAAACATTGTGGTTTGAATAACTTTTGTGCTTGTCTTTGGAGCAGTATTTGTTGTTCATAATTAGTATTTTATTAAATATTTATTTTGTGTTGTTTTAATTTAGGATTTATGTTAAGAGTTAACTACAATAATAGATTTGATGTTAAGATAATACTATCATTTTCTGTTTGTTTTAGGATGTCTAGATAAATTGTTCATCCAGGACCTATTGACGATTCTCTATGAAGGCTTCAACTATTTCATATATCTAAGCATATATGGAATGGAGCTGGAGATAGGGTCTTGAAGGTTAGGAGAGCAACACAAATAGAGTTGCATGATGCTCAGATTCCAGATGATATTCGGGATCTATTGCAAAGGGTTGGGTTTTTGGGGGTGGCCCCAATCAATTACTTTCCCGTAGACAATCATTTGATTTCTGCCCTAGTAGAGCGTTGGAGACCAAAGACCCACACCTTTCACATGCCCTTCGACGAGTGTACTATCACGCTAGAGGACGTTGCTATGTTACTTGGGTTGAAGATCTCAGGTGCGCCCATTACTGGGTATGCAACTATGGATTGGGCAGGTCTTGTGCAACGCCTTCTAGGCATTACACCCCCTGAGTCGGTGCTAGTTGGTTGTCATTTGAGGATGAACTGGATTGAACGCCACTTCTCTAATGTCTCTGAGCATATAGCTAGGAGCAATTGGAACACTATACTAAAGCATTCATTTTACACATCATCGGGGGATATCTATTAACTGATCACTCAAGCTTGTTTGTATCCCTCAAATACTTGGCTTTGCTAGAAGACTTGGATGATTGTGGTCGTATGAGTTGAGGTTCATGCATGTTGGCAAACATGTACAGGGAGTTATGCGTGTGCACTAATTACGACCACAAGGAAATTGGTGGTTCAGCTATTTTGGTGCAGTTATGGGCATGGTATCAGTTACCTGCATTTGCACCACCTTATCCACCTTTATCTACATTTCATGTTCTTTTAGGGGCAAGGTTAGTAAGTATATTACTTGTGATAAAGTTAACATTTAAATTATGAAAAAAAAAATTTGTATATTGAAATACTAATGTTTATTTATTTCTTGGTATAACACGTGGACTAATGCCTTACATAAGCCTACTAGAAAAATGGAAATTAGAGACGGAAAGAATCCGTCACAAAATTAAAGAAAATCTGTCACAAAATTATTAGTGACGGAATTTGTGACGGATTGTGGGTCGTCACAAAAAATGGCGTTACAAAACATTTAGTGACGGAAAAATTCAGTCCGTCACAATTAGTGACGGAAATATGTCGTCACTAACTAATAAATTTTCTGTCACAAATTACTTAAATAAATGTTAATATTTGAGTAAAATTCCATCGCAATTTGTGACGGCCTAAGAAGTCGTCGCAATTTGTGAGGGAACGCATTCGTCACAAACTGTCCGGGATTCAAAATCTGTCACAAATTGTGAGGGATTCAAAATCCGTCACAAAATCCTAATTTTTTATTTTTACAAATTTTTAAATAAAAAATAATTAAATTATTCAAGATTTATTAATTATACAATATATTATTTTCACTTTTTTTTTCTTCTAATCTACAAATATTAATTATTAATTTTCAAATAATTGGCAGTGGTAAGATTCGAACCCCTTACCTTCTACTCATTCTAACCTTAATACTCATTCTCCAATCATCTGAGCTACCTTATCAGTTCAGTACTTATTTAACAATAATCGCATTTAGAACCCATCAAGGTCATTACGAGTGGACAGTGATGCCATTTGGTCTCACTAATGCACCTGCAGCTTTTCAAAGCTTGATGAATGAAATTTTCCAAGGCTTGTTGAGGAAATTTGTTCTTGTATTTTTTGATGATATTTTAGTATACAGCTCTTCATGGTCTGCTCATTTACATCATCTTGAGGTCGTATTGCAGAAATTACAGCAGCATAAACTATTTTCCAAATTGTCTAAATGTTCTTTTGGACTTCAGCAAGTAGATTATTTAGGCCATAATGTTTCAGGCCTAGGGGTGGCGATGGACAAGAGTAAGGTGAAAGCTGTTCTGGATTGGCCATGTCCAAAAAACTTGAAGCAATTGAGAGGATTTCTTGGCCTTACGGGCTATTATAGAAGATTCATCAAGCAATATGCAGTGGTGGCTGCTCCTCTCACTAACCTATTGAAAAAGGACAATTTTAAGTGGGACAATTCTGGTCATGGTTCATTTGCAGCTTTGAAAACAACAGTCACTCAGGCACCTGTTTTGGCTTTACCCAATTTTTGTAAACCATTTGTTTTAGAAATGGATGCTTCAGGAGTGGGAATAGGTGTAGTTCTCAGTCAAGATCATCATCCTATTGCTTTTTTCTCTAAGAAATTGTCTGCTTCAATGCAAAAACAATCTGCCTATACTAGAGAATTTTATGCTATCACGGAAGCTATTGCCAAGTTTCGCCATTATCTGCTTGGACATAGATTTGTGATTCGAACAGATCAAAAAAGCTTGAAGAGCTTAATTGAACAAGCTATTCAGACCCCAGAACAACAGAAGTGGTTGCACAAACTATTGGGATATGATTTTACCATTGAATATAAGCATGGGAAGGACAATATTGTTGCATATTCACTGTCTAAATCATATTTTATGGCTTGGTCTCAGCCTAATTTACAAATTTTTCCTGCTTTGAGGGAAGCTGTTTTTAAAGATATTCAATTAAAGGCTGTTCTAGACTTGTGCTTGCTTAATAAGCCTCCAAATCCTCATTATTCGGTGCATGATAATTTTCTTTTCTGGAAGGGTAGACTAGTTATTCCCAAATCTCATGATCTGGTTAATTAGATTTTGCATGAGTTTCATAGCTCCTTGATTGGAGGGCATGCTGGCTTTACACGGACATTGGCTAGAATTTTGGCTCAATTTTATTGGAAGGGTATGAACAAAGATGTTAAGCAGTTTGTTCAAACTTGTTTGGTTTGTCAACAAGCAAAATCTGCTCACACTTTACCTGCAGGTCTATTGTTGCTGATATTTTCTTTAGGTTATTGCAGCTAAGTTAATTGGTGCTTTGCTAGAGCTTATTTTGGTGGTACTCATTCGGGATTATGCATTCTGGTTATCATCTAAAGTTTGTGTTTTGGGGGATTAAGAAGAGATATAAGGAATGAAGATTATTTTGAATGCTCAAATTTACTTATGATCGTTCACGAGGTTAATACCTAATCATTTCCTTCATTAGAGTTGGACATTAATTTGATCTCAGCTGAGTTGGACTTTAATTCCCTGGTTTGTTTACTTTAGGTGCAGATCAACAACTTGAAGTCTAATTTGGTCTTTATAATTTTTCTGTGGCGGTACATATTTTCTTATGGTATAGTTGAAAACTTCTTTCTTTTGATTTTAGCAACTAGGGATGGAGTTACCTGTTACTTGAGGTTGTGAATTAGTTGTTCTAACTTCTAAGGCATCTAAAATTTAGCCATGAACTTTATTTTGAGGCAGTACCCAGGGGGAGGGGGGTTCCAAACAGACACTTGAAAAGAAGGCTGAACATTCAAAAGTCAAAAACAAGAAATGAGAAACCCTTTAATTCCAATGAACTTTGGGCATGAGCCAACAATGACCAAGTATATTATTTTTGTACCCTTTTGCTTGTGTGCAAATACTTTCATCTGTGGGCAGAATAACATTTTCCACCTGTTTTCTTTCTGAAGATTTTGGATTTTAAGATTTTAATTCCCAAGTAGGTGGAAAAGTGGAAGAGGTTATGCTATGTGTGAAATTGGTTATTTTGACGATCAAATAGGACTTCAAGGCCAAATAATATGTACTTTCTGTCTCTCCATCTGAGATAGGTTTGCACAGTTTTTGAATCATTTATTTTCAATCGGTGGAAAATGCTGTTCTGTAAAATGTAAATTGCTCGTCATGAAGTATTGCTTGTCATCAGGTTCTCGACACTCAACCCTTACCAGTTGTTGCTACAAGACACTCCAAGGGGTTTACAGCATTGAGGCTGAAGCAATTAGTGGTTGTTGACCTGTTACGAACATAGATAGTATCTCAAGTCTTTGCCAATATAGATAGTGCGATGACTAGTGCAGTGGTGGTGGCTGTGCTAGCAACAATAATGATGGAGATCTCTCATCCTGGCTCTGATATCCCCTCCTGCTGTTGGTTGGCCTCTAGGTATGCTGAAGTTGAGTCAAAGATGATACCATTTATAAAGCAATCAGGTTTTGGGCGTTTTATTTTGCTTTACTGTCATTTTAGGTTTCATTTTTGTTAGGTATGAGCCTTTACCTAATTAATAGCCTAAGGTTTCTTGATGTTGGTTCCTGACACAGTATTGAAGCTTCTATGACCAAGAGGTCAGGAGTTCGACTATTGTATTCCTACTCTTCAAAATTAAACTTAAATTTCAGCATAAAAACTGGTGTGCTTTAGCCTTGTGCATTCTGTAACAAGTGCAGCAGGGACAGAAGAGTCAATTGAAGATACAGCTAAGCAAGGACACCTGGCAACAGATTCCAATAATTAGGGAGTGAGGAGGGGCACAAGAATCAGAATAACTAACTCTAGGCTGCAGGATTTTGATTGGTCTAGGGTATAGTATATATATTCTGTTTGTTAAGGAGAGAGGGGAGGAGGATTGATTCTGTTTTCTTCTCTCTGCATTTCTTTTCTGCTGGTGCCATGTTTGTTTCTTTTTACGTAATTTTGCTCTGTAAAGCTACAGACTTTGGCTCATAATTACTCGTTTATGAGTTTTCTTTAATATCATTCAGAGCAGTATTTTCTCATTCCAATTTCTGGTGCATTTGTTTGTTAATTACTCTGTTACATTGGTGCTTTCATCCACATGGCAGAGAATACTTGCCTTAAAGAACTCACTGCTGATGTTAAGCGAATCCTGGAATTAACGGAGACACGGGATAAAGAAAATGTCATTAGATTTGAGACCCTGGAGTCTGCCATTGATACATTGCTGCAGCAAAAGTCCGCGAACCCTTCCCAACCGTTTCAGGTGCGTAATGTCAAGCTGGATTTTCTTCGCTTTGATGGATCCGATGTATTTCAGTGGATCTTCAAGGCCGAGCAATTTTTTTCGTATTACAATACTCCTGATGATCATAGATTAACTATTGCTGCCATACATTTAGACAAGGAAGTGGTACCTTGGTATCAAATGTTGACTCGTCATGATTCATTTCATTCATGGGTTGCGTTTACTCGAGCCTTAGAATTGGAGTTTGGTCCTTCTCCATATGAGTGTCCCCGGTCTCATTTGTTTAAGCTAACACAAACAGATTATGTGCATAATTATTATGTTCAATTCATTGCTCTAGCTAATTGTGTGCAAGGTATCACCACTGAAGCTTTGTTAGATTGTTTTATTGGAGGCTTAAAATCAGATATTAGAAGGGATGTGATTGCTCAATCGCCCTCAACTTTGATTCGATCTGTTTCCTTGGCCAAATTATATAAAGAGAAGTACCTTTCCAAACCCGAACACTATCAAGCCTACCCAGCAGCCAAAACACAAGCCACAAACACAAGCCTACCTATAAGCCAAACCATTAAATCCACTAGCTTTCCACCCCTCCTTCCTAATCCTACATCTCCAACCACAACAACCATAAGAAATACCAATATTAAGAAAATAACACCTGTTGAGATGCAACTTAGGAGAGAAAAAGGCCTTTGTTATACTTGTGATGAAAAATTTTCCCCAAGCCACAGGTGCCCC